ATAGCACGATTGGCTCTCTGGAGTACGGGCATCACAGCCTTAGTTCGTTGGGCTTTACTATCCTTAATCGCATGACACTCGTCACATATCACTACTTGGAAACTGAAGCATAAATCTGGGACGAATTAAGAGTAAGAGCACACAAGCCATGCAGTTCGGTAGTAAGAGCGGTGACCGCCGCCGCCGTTAATATTGCGCAAGTTGAGTACATTCCTAGGCCCTACAATGCAATATTCCGCTCCCAATTATATTATAGACTTGTTGAGAGAGGTATGGTATTGTGTGAGGTGTATGGTGGAATAGGGAGCTCAGTTGACTCGATTGTCTTCCCAAATGGTAACGAATGATGTGTTATCAATGAGGCTGCTGATAGCATCATGCGAGAGCATCAGTAGATGAGGCATAATGGAACTCTCCTTCTTTACTATCTTGCCCTTATAAAACTTTTCCTGATGTACTGTATCTTGGGATATAAGCATCAATGATCCCCATCATTCGTCAATGTATTTCTCTCATGAGGTTGCCGCCGCCGGCGACATTACTCTTCTCACCTCGTTTACGTGAGCAACAGTTAAGCATATTGAGGGATGTCTAGATGAGAGAGGACCGTCCCACGTCGAGGATTTGATCTAACCAAAAGTGGAAAAGATGATCTTGATATCCTGGAGTTGAATGGAGTGATGAGTATCATTCAGTCGGGGATGTTGTATCCTAGGAAAATTGAGGTTTGGTCGAATTAACTTGAGGAGAGCAGATAAATTAGAGGTGCGAAGGCTCCTAACCGTTGGAGAGGTGGATGACTCATGGTGTATGGCTGTGGTGGTGATGGATGAAGGGGTTCGTAGACCCGAGTAGTACCGATGGGTATATGGAGGTCTACAGTCTAGTGGTCGGAACTATCTCTCCATCAGTTAGAATAATGAGCTCTTAAGGAGACAAGACGCTAAAATAAAGAAGGTGTGAATCTTCGAGTGGACTACACTTGTCCAATAATGCAATGTGCTGGTGTAGAACCCACGCCCCCCCTTCCCCCTGAGAAGGACTCACTTAGATCCGTTAGGCCTCGTCTGGAACTTGGGATTATTTATGAGAGGGTAACCAATAATAACAAATTTAGCGTCGCTGAGGATATTATCTTTACCCTTCATAACGACCTAGACGACACCTCACAAGCCACTAGATCATTCCTACTTCTACTACTACCTGAACCTCATCACCTCGGACATGATTCTCGAGCCATTCCATTATTTGATCCTTCCATACAAACTTCAAACTAGCCGGGCATATAACCAATACTGGCCATTCACTCCGATAAGCCAGAGCCACAGCCAATGCTTGCAAAGTCTTCCCTAAACCCATCTCGTCACCAAGTAGGCATCGCCCCTTCCTTTGCAAGGCGAACTCTACCCCAGCCCTCTGATAAGGCTTCAACGGTGGACGTATCGCATCGATAGCTTCTGGTATTGGTACTATCTCAGTGGGAACAGGATTGCTTGATATAACTGATAATACAAACCTGAATTAGGAGACTGACTATGGATGGTAGGCGACATCACCAAGTCTACTGAGGAATCGCCTCGACGACAGCTACTCCGGGGACCTTCTTCACATCAGCAATGACTTTATCAATGATCTTAGCCCTGATGCTATGATGCTAACCACGATGGTCATCAACAGTACTCTGCTAACCTATCAGTATTCGGCATCAATGCTTCATTGATTATGAATTCTGCAGGACTGGCTTCGCTCCGTTGTAACATAGGTGTGTCGAAGCTGAAATGGGATTATCATCTTATTACTGCCACATGGTGCCGACCTTAAAGCTCGCCATAGGTCATTAGGAAGCCATGAGTTGTTTACTAACTTCAAACAACCATTGGTACCTATCTCCATACGGAAGTTATATCTATAAACCATACATAAGCAGGGAATTAATCGACTTGGGGTAACTACTACGTCTTGCCATCTGACGCTACATTCGAGTGGTTCACAGCGGCCGCTGGTGCCGATTTGGTACGGTAACCAGCAATCTGTTGATGATTAGAGTTATTGCCTGATGGCCCCCATGGTAAGGTCCGTTGTGGTGTCTGCTGGTATGGTGGAAAGGTGGTCTGCTGTGATCTGACCAAGGAATGGTATCGGTGAGTTATCAGATGCTACTGAAGAGTACCCGACTGAATTCCCTCGACCGAGATCAAAGGTGGGCAATACAGTAGCGTTTGAAGCCCCCCCTATGGAGCTACTGAAAGTGAGGCCACAATAGACGACTAAAGAGAAGACTAGCCATGAGAGTACCGTGTAGCTGGTGGTGCCGAGAATGCATACTCCTGGAAGGTCGGAAGGTGGTGATGGTGGTGGCCTCCTCTAGTATTCTGCGAATGCCGAATCCAACTACTTGATTGAGGTGGCTGACCACTAACAGAATACCGTCCATCAAGTGGCTGTTGCTCCGAGGATGATCTAAAGGATGTCGACCATCAATACAGAGACCAAAGGGCAGTGATAATACTGAGTTGACAATCGCCGCCGCCAATTGCCCCCATCACTGCTATCAGTAGTTGGAGCCGTGCCTTGTAGGAAGGCTTTAAAGAGTGCCAACTGACCATTGCATTGTCCTAGGTTGAGTACCCATTGACAATATCCAGAGTCGGTAGTTGCTACCTAGGAAGAGGAATGCCTCGACTGGGATACGGATAATCAGTACAACGTATCGACTCAATAATGGGATAATGTGCTGTGGTAATGTCCGATGATGATGATGATGAATTAACATGAAAACCGCAGTGTAAAGATAGCTGTAAAATTCCATATGGAAACCCCTCCACGTAAAGAAAAGGGCAGATATAAATGGAGCAGGACTACTGAATAGGAGAACGACGACGAATGAGTACATGTGTCGATTTCGGAGTACTAGCTATTCCGAGGTATAGGATAGGGCGCCGATAGAGAGTCGTTGTCATTCAACAACCAAAAACTCGACAACGTGTAATCAGTACGATGATTAACTCAAGCGTATAAGCCTCGTCTAGCTCGAGGAGCATATCGAAGAAGGAGTGGTATCACCTCTTCAAAGGTCTTGCCATTATGCTTCCCAAAGGCAATTCTTGTAGATCCATCAACATTACTCTGCTGGACTAGTTCTTGTTGGGCTGTTCTGATGGTATAGGTTGACGAGCCACCAGGCGTGGACCGTTGCATCATGTTATTAATTAGGGAGGTTTTTGTGTTGATGGTCGTTAATTGCGGAGGGGGATGATGTCTGACATCATGATGTCATGATGATGATAATAGATGAAATCTTGCAAACTTGCATACTTCCTTTAGCTTGATCGATTGTTGTTGTATGACAGTAGTAGTTCGTCTTTGAAACCTCTCCCCCACTACTACCCTTTACGATGAAGTACGTAGCAGCCTACCTTATGGCCGTTTTGGCCGGCAACGATGAGCCCACTGTAGAGGAGGTTAAGCATATCCTCTCTGCTGTCGATGCTGAGGTTGATGATGAGGTAATGTTGGTGCATTCTTGTATTCTCGATATGGGATCAGTCCTCACCCGTTTTGTATGTAATCATGTTATCCAGCCGTGGTGCCAATTGTTGTGTATTAGATGTTGGCCAAGTTCTTCGCCCAAGTGCAGGGCAAGAATGTCCAAGAGATGATCGTCACTGGTCTCTCTAAGCTTGGTTCCATCGCTTCTTCTGGCGCCCGCCCCGCTGCTGCTGGTATGTTACGTTATCGACTTGAGCTACTTGTGTATCCCCTCGATTAGGTGCCGCTGCTGGTGCTGCTGCCGGTGGTGAGGTCGCTGAGGAGAAGCCTGCCGTTGAGGAAGAGGAGGAGGAAGAGGAAGAGATGGACTTTGATCTCTTCGATTAAGTAGCCACTGCTTGATAACTTTCATCATCATCCTTGGGTCCGAGAGGCATCTTTATCAGAGTTTAGTTTATCAAGTATCAACAGTTATCAAGAGTAACATAGTGAGGTCGAGGGTGTGTTGGGATAGAGGTATTATGATAGATGGTATAGGGATTATGATAAGATAACGCTAAGATGATACTCGATCTGTATCCTGCACGGGACTCACCATTGGTAGATCATTGTGTATCGCTGGCTGGTGCACTCAGTGTTATAACTGTTGTAAGCATCTCGTGGTAGGAGTTGATAGTGATTCGCACAACACACGCAAGGATTCCACGATTCACATGCGACCATCATATCAAACATGATGATCGAGTTGAAATCTTAAACAGTGTTCTCCACGCTGGGCATGCTCAAGCTTCGAGCTAACTCGGCTTTTTGGTCGACCTAATGATTCGGCCATACTGTGTTGAATATACCGTATCACGTCCATCCGTTAAGCTGTGCGAGGCCTGGGTGGTACCGAAGGCTATGAGGGTATCTTTTCAAGGTGAGGGCGAGGATTTCGCCCTCGAAGAGTTTACCCTTCTGTGACAAAACGTGTCGTACTTGCCTGGTATTCATATCGGACGGTTGGTTAGCAAATGTTCCGCGTTCAAGCACTGAGGTGTGAGGTGGTAAGTCGACAGTATCGAAAGTAGAGGTCAGTGATAACGACTAGTTGGGGTCCAATATATAGATATTGGTCGGAGAATGATCAATAACGCACCACGTTCTATAGGATATAGTATCTTGTGAAACGATTGGGCGCGATAGCTATCCTCTGCGCCCTAAATCAGCTGTAACCAACAGAGACGTGTCTCTCAGTTGCAGACGTATGTAGTCCTTCCGAGACATCGATGATTGACTTTTGAGCTGCACTCCTCTCACCATAGCCTTATTATACTCCTGGAAGATGACCATTCGTTCCTTCCCCATCGCCATCGTCACCCTCGCTTCTCTTCAGAAGATCAGAATCGTGATGAGCAACACCACTGAGTGCGACGCTGGATGTGCTGCTACCTATCCCGGGTCCTATTGTAAGTACTGGCAGACACCTAGCACGTGCTTTGGCTCAAATGAACCATGCTCCTGCGGAACGAGTGGAACGACTGAAGCTCCCCGTAACTGTGATGCTGGTTGTGCTTCGGATACCCCCGGCTCCTATTGCAAGTACTGGGCTAAACCCAGCCTCTGTCATTCATCCAATGCGCCATGCACATGCGAGGTTGATCCAGTTACCACTACTTCTGGTGAAACCACCGATGAGGTCACAGAGACTCCTGTGGTTCAAGAAAGCACTACAGACGTCATCGAGGAAACTAGTACGGCCGCTTCTATTGCTGTTGACACCACCGAAATAACCAGTACCGCCATTGTAACCGATGAAGTAGCCACCACTACTGCAGCTACCGCCACTGATGAGATCCCTGTTTCCACTACTGCTGAGGAGGCCACCGATGCCTCAGCGACCACGGATTCTCCAGTTACGGCTACCGCTGTCGCCACCACGGCCGAGGTCATCACCGAGGCCCCGGCTACCGCTGTCGCCACCACGGCCGAGGTCACCACCGAGGCCCCGGCTACCGCTGTCGCCACCACGGCCGAGTCATCACCGAGCCCGGCTACCGCTGTCGCCACCACGGCCGAGTCATCACCGAGGCCCCGGCTACCGCTGTCGCACCACGGCCGAGGTCATCACCGAGGCCCCGGCT